TACGCACTGCGAACTAAAGAATGAAGCGTACGTGCGTGTCCCAAGTACCAATAAAACCAGGAGACAATATGGTGTGCATTCATTTTCTTTTTGGGCAAAACGTCTCTGTGTGGTAGCGGATTTCCGCGCAAACGGTGGAACCCTGGGTGAGTTTCAAACTTGTCTTTCTTATGTTTCTCGGTGAGGAGTCCTGACGGAATGTCGGAACCGCTAGAGAAAACAAGGCGCTTGGTGGATTAGAACGTAAGTCTTAACCTTGAACCGCATTTAAACCTCAGAAGACGACGATTTTGTCGAAACGTTAGGCCGAACTAATAAATGTTGGCCCCTATAAACCTTGTACTTCGTACGGCAGCTTCTAACCTGTTGTCGCGGTGTTACGAGCTAGAGGCGAGGTCGATTATTCGCCAGGTGCGGCCTGACAAGCCTATACGATTTCCGCCGTGACAAAGAACACTCGGCTCATGGCTGAGAAGGCGCTCTCCTTGAGCGAAGAAATCACAGGGCCATAGGCTGCCAAAGGAAACGGACGAGTGTTAGCCAATTAATCACTTGCACATGCAATTGTCGAGGCATTAACTCGGCTGCTCAGCTTTCGACGTTGGTCGACGAGATACCATGTCATCGGCCTAAACCTAAGGTCGTGAAATCGACTCAACCTCAGGAGGCATTGGATTCATCGTATCACCAGGCTTCTCAAAACACATTCAGAGCGTAACTTTTTACGGGCACCGCTTTGGCATTCTAAATGCAAGTATTTCGAAGGAGATAAGAGTTACTGTTTTGCAAGTCTACGCACCGACAGCAGATAGCGACGATGAACTTTTACGAACAATTAGCCGAACTTGTGAGTGGTCATAAAAGTAGCTACGTCATAGTAATGGGCGATTTCAACGCCAGGATCGGACCACGAACGCTAGACGAGGTTTTTATTGGCCCGCACTCTTCAGAGAGTCGCAACGAAGCTGGACAGAGATTAGCGGAATTTCTGTGAACTTCACCATCTCTTCCACGGCAATAGCCAATTTCTCAAACCTCCACACAAAAGGTGGACACATGTATCTCCAAATGGAGAATATTATCACGAACTCGATCACATCCGTGCAATCGGAGAACCATGACAGATGTAGCAGTCGTCCCTTCATTCAATACAGGGGGCGATCATCGACTATTACGGGGACCGGTTACGACGCGTCTGTCTATGCAGACACTCGAACTACGACACCCTTATAAGAACGATATCAAGGAATCGCAGAAAGCTGCCGTAGTATTGCCCCGAATCACAACGCTCGTCGCATTTCCGCCTCTACTCGTGCCTTACTCGAGAAAAGGAGGAATATGGATCGGAAAGAAAATCATGTCGAATATACGCTACTAAGTCGTTTGTGTAGACGGCGCATCACTGAAGACCACATCAACTTCACAAGATCCAGACTTTTAAGCGAGGCAGAAGGCAAAAGAAGCTTGAAAACAGCCAGAAGAAAGATCGCAGAGCATCGTTTGATAATCCCATGCCTAAAGACTGAAGATGGTTCGCGCTGTACATCTATGCCAGAAATGGAACAAGTTATGGCAACATTTTATTCCACTCTCTTCAAATCAGAAGTCCCCATCACAAAGCAGAAGAGAAGCTGACCACGGATGAAAGTGTTGCCTTTCCTTTCATCAGAGGTACGGTATGCGCCATTTCAAACCATGCCCACGAGGAAGGCTTCAGAATGACGGGATTACCTTTGAGGTTCTCCAGGCTGCCAGGCCCGTCTTTATATCAACGCGCTCGCCAAGAGAACACGCTGTAACATACATAACTGAATGCAAAGTCTCAAAAAGCATGAAAGCAGTCATCGACGGTGTTGCTATTCATGAAAGGCGACAAAGAAGACCTAGCAAATTACCGTCCCATTACGCTTCTGCCGGTGTTCTATAAAGTATTCACTCGCTGCATACTGGCACGTATCCGAAGAACATTGGAAGAAGCTCAACCAGGTAGAACAAGCAGGCTTCCGTCGAAACTTCAGCACACTCGATCATATTGTAACCTGTCGACGAGTCATTGAAGCATCTCGCGAACATCACTTACCGCTCGTAATGACTTTCGTCGATTACAAAAAAGCGTTCGACTTCAGTGGAGCCAACGATGGTCTGGAACGCAAGATCAAGGAGTTGAAGAGATATACGTGAAAGTGTTACGGGAGTGCTACACGGACTGCACAACGATATTTCATCCGTTCCACAAAGACGTCGTGGTTTGCAGTAGAAAAAGGAGTAAGACAAGGTGACCCAATATCTCCTAATCTTTTCACTGCATGCCTTGAGTCCGCTATACGCCGCTGCGAATGGAGCAACTTTGGAGTGGATGTCAATGGTACACGGCTCAATCATCTGCGTTTTGCTGATGACATAGTCCTGATCACAGAATCTTCGGAACACTCCTCAGAGATGCTACATCATCTACGAAGAAGGAAGTCGTTATGCCTAGTCATCAACACCTCAAATACAAAAGTGATGCGAAATTTCGTTCACGAACAGTAACCCTGTCCTCTTGAATGGAAGCCCCATTGAAGACGTCAAAGAGTGTATATACCTCGGGAGTCAATTGAACATGAGGAACGATCTGACTGGAGAGCTAACCAGACGTCGCAAAGCAGGCTGGGCTGCCTTCAAATCCATAAGAAGTGTAACCGAGGATACTAGGATAGCAAACTGCGTGCGGATCTATTCAACTCAACGGTTCTACCTGCTCTTACATACGCAGGAGAGACTTGGACTCTAACTAAGTCCTTAGAAAAACAATTGAAGTCCGCCCAGGCATCGATCGAACGCCGTTTAGTGGGTTTCACTTTGAGACGACAACGAGAACTAGAACTTCACAATTCGGACATCAGGCCATATCGAAAGTGAAAGACGCCCTCCTTCACGTCGATGAGGCAAAACACAGATTCGCTGGTCATTTGATGAGGAGAAATGATGGCAGATGGAGTGCTGCAACTGTGCGATGGTGCCCGCGCGAAAAGAAACGGCCACCCGGCCGTCCTCCAGTACGTTGGGCAGACTCTCTAGCTTATCGCAACAACGTAATTGATCCCGTGTCCCTTAAGGTGTCTGTCCATTGGACAACTATAGCTCAAGACCGAGAACGATGGAAGAGAAGCTGGGACCCGCGCAAGGCCAATCGCCCAGCAGATGGACGGGTCGTCTAAGTATCTTAAGTATAAACCTTCGTACGGCACAAACAACTAAGACTAACAAGAACAAAGGATACCGAAGTTACAAGAAGAAGAAAAAAGCTGGAGACTACTTCCAAGAATGTTTTCAACTTTTGCGTTCACAACTGGGTCCCTTCGTGTTCCCATCTTCCTTCGTTCTTAGAAGATTTTCGCACAACTTTCGCCTTCATTTAGATTAGATAGGCTCTTCTAGTACGCAACAAATTATCAGACGAGGCAGCTTTTCTGTACATAGTGTTCCTTGTACCCTTCACGTATTCATACTTGCGAATTGAGAAGTGGCATCCATCCTTTGAACTTCTCCTGTGACGGTGATATCCATGTCGTGTGCGTACAGTTTTTCTAACGTTTCCCCATATGATCATCTTCCGTTGTTCCAATAACAAATACGTCATCGACAGGATGCTTGTAGGAAAAAAAACCTCCATTCGCTATGAAGACTTCTCTATGTGGTCCAGAAAGATGACTGCTAACACCGGTGCTATGCGATTACCCATGGCTAGCCTCGTTTTTGCTTGTAAAACTTGTTGTTGAAGCAAAAAATGTTGCATTCTAGTGCCGCTTCAATGAGGTCCTTTATTTCGTTTGCGGAGAATCCCATCGTGGAAACGCGACCACGATTTTCTTCCAGAAGGGATAAAACAGCTCGCACTGCGTCCGCATTATTCACATGTGTGTAAACCACATCAAAGCTCGCGTAGAAGGCTGTTATCGATACTAGACATTGGTGAAGCGCCGAAATAAAGTTCGTCCGACATTGAACAATGTGTGCTCCCACATACTGCAACAGTGGCGAAAGAAGACGAACTAGAAGCTAGCTCAACCTATCTGCCGGACCACCACATGATGCGATAATCGGTCTCGTTTTGAATTTCGCTTAATGGGAGCGACGTTGTGTCTGCCGTTGGTTGGAATTTATGCGTCTTCACCAAGTTTGTAGAGAGTTGACACTGTAGGTACATCCATGCAATCATTTTGCCATTTCTAAGCTCATACGATTCTTCACCGTCGTCATAATGACATTTTTCACTCTCTTGCATACTGTTTCGAACGCCGAAAAAGTACTCTCCTCGTATACTTGTCGTGTCTGAGGGAATCTGAGCGATGAAAGCCTTATCCAACAATTGAAGCCTTACAACAAAGGGATCAAACTTTGTCGCCCACTGTGATCCTCAACACACTCTTCCTTTGCAGTATTTTTCTCACTCCTCTTCGTTCAGTTGATGTTAAATTACTGCGATAAGGTTCACTCATAGCGTTTCGATAAATTCTTTGGATGTTATGCTCGAGATTGGCTATTTTTGCATCAATGTCACGTGTCGACGGAGTATTTGTACGAATTTTGCGCTTCGAAGGCTTCAACGACGTCAAAGTTTCATGTTGGTTAAGCACGGATGGCTCACGATGTGTCCTCCAGCGTAGTGATATGCAAATTGATGAACTCCACAGAGCGCTGCGTCCATCACTGAATTGTTTACCCTTGGTGTTATTGCAAATGACTGCCCTAGATTAAGGCTGCAGCCCATATCACTATCCACTTCATTTGTTCCAATAACCACATGCCGTGTATTAGTGGGACGGCACGCGAATGAACTTGCGTTTTGGCGTATTCCGTGACGCGATCTGGGTAAATGTCAGTTTCTTTCAGAATGCCGAGCTGACCACATGGGTCGATTGTTATATTTCTTCTCTGATTTTATGAGGATATTCACTTCAAAATATCGGAACTCGATGCCAAGCGTAGCCGATTTCGATTAGAGCTTATTCCGCGGATCAGATTCTGATTATGCTTCCATCCTTCAATGTGAGTGTCTGCATAGACATTTGGTACGGCCGCTAGAAAAAAAGATCTCTAAAGCGCAAGAACTAATTTAATCAGGCCAGAATATTACAATCAGGATGGGCTATGGACTTTTTTGTTCAGACTTTCTGCGAAATCAATGAAATGTCTTATTCTTTTGAGAATAGCTGTTTTAATTTCACTTGTTCCGACCCTCACAGTCCCCGCGTGATCTCTTTATCGGTTGGTATGTCGTTGTATCGGGTATATTGTAAGAGGACAGTTGGTCAGTCGCGTACTGTAATTTTGAAGAACTGGTCTGGTGATGACATTATTGCTGAAAGCTTGCCAATAAATTGAAAAAGTGGAAGAGTTTCAAGAACATTCAATCTACGATCCAGAATCAAATAAACGCCCTCAGCAGCATAGAGCCAGTCATTTCTAAATAAATGTAAAAGTTACTGTGAGGGGTTACAACAGAATATGATTATGGTTCGCCAACATTGCACTTCTCCTTGAGCAGTAAATTCTGTCCTGACATTTTAAGCAATCGTCTCCCGGAGACCTCTGGCCCTTGAATTCACATCTCCATCTGTAGGGTGCGGGAATTGTACGACAAGGCATTCGTAGAACCCGCTCCGGGACGAAGTAGCACTTTCACATGCACCATACCATCAACGACTCACGGGTTCGCACCCACTCTCAAAGAGCTACCGCTGCTCAGATCATTGCTGACTCCCCCACCCCTCCTCTAGCAGGGCTCGATACTACCCCACCCGCTTGTTCCAATGTTTCCCAATGTACGCATGACCCTTTCTCCTGCTCCCTTTCCTAATAGAATTTCAGAACAAATTGATGAAGCGTCAATAAAACATCACCTTTGAAGAAAAATGGTTTTGGCTGCCCTCGCGAAGCCCCCTTCTAGCCACTCAAGCCAAGATCTCCCTATATCACAAGCGCTTCGCCCTTCCGGTATCTGAATAGTCTGGAGTCATAGAATTTTTTAGCAAGCCACCACAAATTTAGCAGCTGGCAGTCACTGCGGTGGTCATTTTACCTTGTCTTCATACCTGGGCTATGTTTGACGAGCAGTGAGGTAATGAGTGAATTTCGTAATGGACAGATAAATATTCTAACGCACGGTTAAAAAGCTCCGCTAGCCGTTCTGGAAAGAGCAGCACATAACATTCCAAGAAGTACCATGGCGAGTCCAAATAAAAAACAGGTGGCAGTCGCTATGGCGAGTGAACCGTCCTGCAAGAAAAAAAGGAATAGCCAGCTTATCCCAACCGATGGCATAATGCATCGGCAAACAAATCGTGATTGCTCATTGCTTATGTGCCTTGACTACATGTTGTATATATACAGGGGGGGGGGGCCAAAAAAAAAAAAGACATTTTGCCTATGTCGGACTTCGGCCCTTTTTTCTTCGCAGAGATTGCCGTCGTTGACGGGAGTTCCTCAGCAGAGTATTCCCTAAGTGTCCCTCTTCTGTCACCGTCGTCAGGCTCAAGGAGGTCTACTGTAAGTGCTTCAGCCTGAAGCTCTTACGCAATTTCGTGAATCGATTTAATGTTGGATACTTTTCTAGAGGCGTTAGCTCCCACTATACAAATCCCCTCGAAACGAGCTTTCCAGTAAAGGTCGTTATGGTACAGAATCCTTCGAAGACCCCATTGAGCTCGACCAGTGCACCATGTTTCCAGGGCAAATTCTTCTGTTGCCGTCCACGTGGGTGGCCAACATGAAGATTTTCTTATAGAATGAAATGTGCTCTTCAATATTAAGTTGGGAACACTCGGTCTCAATTGAGCAAAGTGTGCTTAAATCCATCTGAAAGTGGAGACAAAATGTCTTTTTTTATTGCCCCCCCTGTATATATATATATAAGCGGAAAAAAAATGGGAAAAAAATTATTCCACAAAAATTTTTCGAGCGATGACATTTCCCAAACAAGTTCGATATATTTACCAGTTTTGCTCCGCCCGCTATAGCGCGCATGACATCAAAAGCTTCGGTGCAACTGAACGGTCAGTGCAGCGTTAGGTTCCACCGGTGGGAAATGGATTGCTTTCAGAAATGCATTAGCTCACAGTCCGCTTGATGCATGCGGTGGAGTACGGAGTTAAAGCGATGTCTGTTAATAACACCATGCATCGAATGTCAGGACAACTCAGCGCCGTACAACATTTGATGTTTAAAATAGAAATTGACCAGTTTTTAACTTCGTATAGCATATAATTTATCATGTTTCTTCGAACATCCACCGTGCATTTTGAGGAACTCTGGGAGTGTAGCGGCCAAATGGTAATTTGGGCTAAGGATGACAACGCATGTGAAATGATATTGAAATGAATTGCGTTATCTCATACCTGCTTTGGCCTCTGTGCTCTTACGCATCTCGTTGTCATTCAATCCTATCAGCCGATAGCACTTTCTGACCCCCACAAATATGTTCCCGTCCCACCCTCTACATCACTTATGGAAACCAACACCTCTCTGCTGCTGGGACACCCACAGTAAATTTCGTGAAAGTTTGCGTTTCAGCGCCTCTTATCAGCTCTTATCAGTCGTTATCACTTTCTGACCCCCACCAAATATGTTCCCGTCCCACCCTGTACATCATTAGGAAACCAACGCCCCACTGCTGCTGGGACGCGCGCTATGAATTTCGTGAAATTTGCCTTTCAGCGCCTCTTATCAGCTCTTATCAGTCGTTATCACTTTCTGACCCCACCAAATATGTTCCCGTCCCACCCCACATAATATGTTGTAAGTTGTCCCATAATTAGTGAATCACTTTACATTCATTTGCTTATAAAAAATTCAAGAAAAATGGTAAAGGCGTCGAAGATGTTTTGCGAAGTAGCACCCACATTATCCTACCTGAGCATTTGGTCAGCCCATTTACACGCTGCCTTACGTGGCTATAACATCAATTTTTCTAAAACCTATTTTTGAGCTTCCTCACTCATCACTTCTGATTAGCATCTTTCAAACGCCAACCAACGTAGTGGATCAACCAGCAAATAGGCGAGGACACACTCCTTCAATCCACGGTTCCACACTCTGTTCCGGATTTGGCTTTTCCATTTGAAGATGACCGATACTCTAACTACCCCTCTACTGGCAATCTTGCTGCTCTACCCAGCGCAGCTGAGATTGGATCTGGACAAAGTAGTCGCTATGTGTCAGAGCATATCCGACTTGTTCAGATGATGGAATGTAGGGATTTCTGTAGAGTCGTAAAGAATTTAAAATATGGAATTTGTATCTCACATGCTCTGTGCCCGAATCACCCTCGAACACGATTTCCTAGAGTTCCTTTCAGTGACCGTCCTGCATATTCACCAGTTTTGTAGACTGGGTGGAGTGTGCTAGCAAATCCACCAGGAGCAGTAGCCTAGCTCAAGCGATTCGGGAGTTCTGACAGCAAAAGCCCAACTTCCTCTATGTTCGACACTTCTGAAATGTTGGTGAAACAAGAAAGGAACCTTGCGCTGAGAACCGCCGCCCAGTAACACTAGAATTAGTGAAGAAGGCAAACGTGGACAGCACAGTGGCAACGTGTTCAATTTGAAAGCAAAGCAAGACAAAGTCGGCTTTTTTTTCTGAGGTCGTTCGACCCACCTTGGGTAGATTATTTATAAAAAGTTGGCGACTCTCAGGCTAACAGTTCTTTCAGCTTCGTTGTGTAGCACTATCCTCGTACCAGCTAAGGACAACCTTGTCTGAGCTCTAGCACTCCTCTTCAAAAAGAAATTTTACGCTAAGTGATACGACCTCAAACCCGACTTCCAGTCCTTCTTCGTTCAAGATCTCCCGCAGTTTCAGAGGAAAGACAGCGAATAAATTCCCATGAATAGGCAATACATTATAGATGACAGAGGTGTATGTTTGGATGAGCAAGGACTTCGAATAAAAAGAAAAAAAATTTGAATTCAAAAATACCCAAAGTGATTCACTAATTATGGGACAACCTAATATAAAATTTACGACGCTTCCATTCGTTGCAGAGAAGCGCTATAATTCTGACAAACAGAACGCCCTACATCCACACACGCCAGACATACTTTAGCGAATCTTATTTATTATAGTAGGATTGAACAACCGAATTATTGTAACAAACTTACAAGCCAATAAAATAAATAATGGACCTTATAATAAAAAGTATGATGTGATAAAAACACAGATTCCACTCAAATGTGACCTCCTAGGGTTGCTGGAACCTCAACAGGTCCTAAGTTTGGGATCATTCAATGAATGCACTGTCTTTTGGGACCCTTCCTAGCAATTTTTCTTCGAATTTGATACGTTTTTCAGCGGATATTTCTGAGTCTTTTTCCTGTCATGGTATTCTCCACCTTTCCATAGTGTTTCTATGGCGCGTAGGAAAAAAGCTTATTAGTTCCTCCCTCCAAAAGGCACGCCATGCTTTCACTTTCATTTTTGTTACACATCTGTGAAAGCATGTGAAGGGGTCGTCATAAAACCGATACTTAGATACCGTAACCCAACAACGCAATGCTGTCGAAACCACTCCTTCACGATCGAGATGTGGCAACTTAGCTATATTGCTGGAAGACGAAGTCAGCAAAGTACAGGCGTCCATGCGTATGGATATACAACAAGTTTTAGAATTAATTTGGATACGTCCACATGCCCCATTTCTCGGATTCTATGCAGTGTTCCAGCATCTTGGACAGCGGTACGTTCGTTAACTTTTGACCAGAACCTTGACCGTCAGGACTCCACAAGTTCTCACTGCCTGTTGCCAAAAACATAATTCCTCTCTCACTTATGAGAAAACGTTGGAGCCTAAAGCGGACCTCAGTTGAGGTGTACGTGTGTTAGCCCATTCCTATATTCTTCGCAGTCGCGACAAAACTGTCACAGAATTCGCCCGTGTTAGTGGTGAAGACGAACGTTTGCAGTTAGATTTCTTGGAAGGAGTCGTGTATCCACACGTATGGCACCTGCTCCACTGACTTCATATTCTAGATACAGAGCAAACCATCGCACCTCAACCATGCAAGAGTGCTTTGGACAGCAGAAAGTGCCTTTAACAGAGGGACCAATTCAGTCGCATGTCCTGAGTCATCGAAACGCTATGGGCAAGGAATAGGGAAAGCTCAGGAGAAGGAATTGCCAGAATATGGATATGGATAGATAGAAACCTCGTCAACTTTGAAGAAAAATTGAGTAAGTTTGTTAAAGCGTTGGATCTGCTCAATATTTCTATCATCTACTGTTCAATTTGATTTTTCCATAATAATTTGAGGTTTACTTGGAATACGGTCGCACTGGAGAAGTTCTGGTGAGTTGATTTTTCACCCTTACATCCTTCTCCCATTCAACTTATATGCTACTCAAAGGAAGCGATTACGATAGATCTCAAAAGGGTAGGGGACGTGGGGGTCTCCATAGCACGCCAATGGCAAAAAAATAGGCGAAAAAGCAAAAAAAAATCCGTCGAAAAATAAGCAAAATGGTACCCTTTGATTGCCCTTTCATTTTCGACCATGGATGAGCGACGGTAAAGAACGACGTGTTAACCCCGATAGCCGCCATCATGCCAACAAGCATAGTGTTTTGATTGATAAGGCAATACGTGGGCAAGTTGGAAGATACAGCCGCTAGAAGGGAAATGATCATCCAAAATGAAAAGCCAACAGCAAACAGTCCATCCAGATCATCAACAAAACTAGTGGGCGTCACGTCACTGGGGCGGGGCGTCACACGGGTCCTGCTCAGCAACCACAGCACCTTTCGCCGTGGGAGGACCACACATCGCTTCCTTGGCAGCCAAGTAATTGCTCCGTGTGGCGCAGGTTCTCCCCCGATGCGAAAATTCCTTATCGTAATCGCTTCCTTTAAGAGGAAAAGGACAAGAGCAAATTCAAATTTGCACTGATGGTAGTAGAAAAAAGTCACAGTCACCGAAGAATTTTAGGCGTTCCTTTATGTCCCGCGTAGGCCATGTGGGATCATGTTTCCCGCACCCATTTATCTATTTTTTTGCGCAGTTTGGTAGTTTTTTGTTTCATCGCCATAACATGCTTTTTAAAGCGAGAGATTGCGATAGGATTCTGTTGTGCTCATAGTGGAAGTGAAGATGCTGAATAATGCCCTAGTAGCGAAAAAAGCAAAGAAATCCGTCAAAAACGCGCAAAATGGGACCACTTCCTCTGCCCGTTGACCTCCGATAATGGACGAGTTGGCAACCAACTAAGAGGTCGTCGGCACTCGTTAAACCATAGCTGCCATCATACCACCAGAGATCATACCTTGATTGATATAGCATTCCATGAGAAAAAAATTGGATACGCGCTCGAAGTGGCATACCTTATCAGAATGATAATCGAACAGCGATCTGCTGAGGGGCGGAGCACAGGCGGAGGCGGAGCTCAGAAAGGATTGGCAGCCCCAGGGCGCTGCAACGAGCGCACCTTTAGTCACAAAAAGGCCACATCTCGATTCCTTTGGGCTCTAGCTACTGCTTGAAGTGCTGCTCGTTCTTCCATGCTGCACAGAAATTTTATCGTAATTTCTCGCTTTAAATTTTGTCAACAAACGTTCCGTGAACAAAGCTGCTCGTGGATGAGAGAATGCGAAGTCCGCAAAGATTCCCAAGCCTACGAGTAGTGCCAAAGCGGTGAGTTTTGTGATTTAGATAGTCAATAATTCATGATTCAGGTATAAATACACGGTTCTTTCCATTGGTCTCTCTCATTGAAAATCTCCAGCCGTTTACTGACGAGGCTACATAGCGTGACCCTAAGTGGCGGATAGGGGGTCAGTCGCGGATCAAAAGCCACCATGTGCTTGCTCTAAGAAGCAGGTCGATTCAAGACCCCCTATTTCTGCAGTGCTGTGTTGATTGCCTGTGCGGTTGCGTTCATGTGGTGCGCTTAGTATTTTCGGCACAGTCAAAGGCCCGCATTCTAGGGACCGGGAAGCGCATGGGAGGCAATTTGAGAGCCCAGAGTCTGGCAAGATAATCGTGGACCTTTAATATGCCGAAAACGGCAAAGTAAATGGCCTCATCACCATGAACCTGAGGGAGCTCTTATTACGGCAGCGCTGAGCTGCTCGGGAGAGGCTGCTAGAATCTCAGGGCTCGGCTGTTCTGTCTAAATGAAGAACAACTAAGACGGCGATCTGCTTTTTCAATTCACGAACGATTGCATCCGAAGCTCACATCAATGTCAGATGATGTAAGCCAGAAGATCAAATAGGTTGTCTCATAAATAGTGTCGCTTTTCTCAAACAAAAAGTTTTCTACTATATCCTGAGCTTTTACACCATGTCATATACCATTCGAAAGAGAATTGTCTGCTCTACAAGATGTATGTTCCACTTCCACCTCTGTTCCACGGTTTTCAAATTTTAGGTCTGCGAAATGGGAGGTCCAGCCGACAAAAATTGACCAAACCGACAACTAGCTCTAACTTTATTTTCCCTGGAGAAAATCAATCAATGATGTACCCTCTACTTACTCATGACCTCTTCTGAACATTCCACCCTTAGGTTGCCGAAAAAGCTTTGCCGTGTTTCTTTTCGAATTGGCTGACCGATAAGCCATAGCAATTTTCAAATTAAATTGTTCCTCGTAAACGCCATTGTTTCATATCGAGTGGTGTTCCTTTTGTGAGCACTTCTTCTGCTCTACTCGCTCATTTGTTTTGTTTTTATGTTTGTTGGGAATTAGTTCGAATTTTAGGTGTTTAGGAATAAGGTGTTTTATCCACGAAAGTGACCGCATTTCTTTGAAAAAAATCCCTGAGAAGATGAGAAAATCAACCAGGCGTACATTCCTAACTTAGTCATGACTTGTTCTTTGAAATTCTACTAGTTTTTCAATGTCTCGGCTATAAAAAAATTTCGACCTAGATCTCAGGTAATGGTGCTCGACCGTCGAGTTCTGGTTGAAAAACCAGGTCTGGAAATGGAACGACGCGACTTGTTGGGAAACCTAATAGTGTAATGTTCAGAAGAGGTCATGTATTAAGGTTTAGGAAAGGAAGTTCTGCAATACTCTTTCTAAAATTTTCTTTTTTTTTCTGAAAAATTCCAAAGGTAACTTTTTGTGACTAACAAATGGTAGAGCATTGTCGAGGCTTCAATCCACGAGGTGGATATAAGTGCTGCAGTAGTAGTTATCCAAGAAAATTCAAAAAAACCTCGACCACTAGTAAATCCATACTCCGAGTCACTGTCTAGTACAAATGTCTCCAACTATGGATTCGTGTCAAAGACCAACACTATCTGCAATAGCTTCAATAGGCATGCCGTTCACCGCTACAGCGTGTTTCACCTTTACCAGCGCTTCGATCTTTTGATATTTTTATGTATACCCTTTGAGAGAAAAAACGAAGAATTTTCGGTTCTCCGCTAGCCTACGACGCGAACCTACGTTTTGTCCGTCACACTCCATTACAGGTAGGGCTCTTACAGGAGCCCCGCTACATATCCTTCGTTATGGGCACCATTGTGTAGGTAGAGGCCTGGGCTGTGGAACTACCAGAAGCTGGCCGAGGCAGCTCGTCAAGAGCCCTCGTACCGCGACAATATTCATTTCTTTCATGACATTGCGAATCACCATGATCCGAAATGAGCCCGGTAAGAAATTCTGGAGTGCGGCAAGATTTCTTACCCTCTCTTAGCGTAATCCCCTGGTCGAGCTGTAAATGACTGCTGCTACCTACCCTGAAAACACCATTCGTTGATGGCGAAATAGTTAGACGATCACCAACTCGGAAGTGAGGCCCCCTCCTTTCTCGACCCACACTCCGCTGGGTTTTTTGGCAAAGGAGCATCAAGAAATTTTTTGAACGTTGAAGACAAGCGGGTTCGAAGAATATTGTGGAGGGTCACCAATTGAACAGTGTATGACTCATTGAATTATTTTCAAACTCTAGGACCTGTTGACGGTTCCAACAACCCTAGAAGGTCATCAACTGAGATGGTTTCGGTGGGGGGTGGGTGGTAACCCTAGAAGTCATCAACTGAGATGTGAGTGTGGGCTGATGCGGTGTGCGTGTGCGTGCGTGTGCGTGCTGCGTCGTGCGCGGGTTCACGTGCTGGGGAACACGAGCTCTCGCGGCAGCGGGCCCAGCTCCTACCGCCTGCGTGTGTGTGTGTGGTGTGTGTGGGTGTGTGTGTGTGTGTGTGTGTGTGTGTGTGTGTGTTGTGTGTGTGTGTGTGTGTGTGTGTGTGTGTGTGTGTGTGTGTGTGTGTGTGTGTGTGTGTGTGTGTGTGTGTGTGTGTGTGTGTGTGTGTGTGTGTGTGTGTGTGTGTGTGTGTGTGTGTGTGTGTGTGTGTGTGTGTTTGTCACGGAAATTCATAGCTCGAGTCACAGTAACGATAGCGCAGTGGTTCTTACATATGTTATAGGGGGTGGGATGGGGACACAAGTGGTACGTGATAGGAACTGATAACGACTGATAATAGCTGATAAGAGGGGCTAGAAAGCGAGCATCGCCAGTAAACTAGGTAGAGAGGGGCAGTAAGCAGCTGTCCCAGACATCAAGTGTACACAATTCAGTGAGTCTGTCAACAGCATCGAGGCACATCATTCGGTACAAAGTGCAGTGTATGTATTGAAAAATTCATTCCCCTTCTCATGGTGAATTTCTTTGAAGCTCTACTGATGTTGAGCCGCATTTATTTTATTTCTTCTTTGAGAACATTTCAATCCAAACAACACCTGTATAAACGTTTCTGTGGGATCACTAACCGGAAAGAGTTTGTGATGGCGCATTGTCAATATTATGACTGTGATGCATATTACTACTTTGAGATACGAAAACAGCACAGCTTCAAAGAGAAGTGTATTCTTGCCAAGGCCCATCACTTGTAGGAAATCCTAAAGATTGTTATCACCTCAATACCGTAGTACAAGGAAGCAAGGAGGAATCACCTTCATTCCGGATTCCTTTTCGGATGCCGTGTTCATTGCGGTGAACAGTAAAATTGGGACCAGAATAATCGCGAAACCTGAAAAACATCAAAAATTAAATGAACCCACAAGTTTTCCTGTGTAGCCAGGGTTTCAGTGACTGAGCCCTTTGAGATATCAAACAAAGAAAAGGGCCATCAACAGCCCGATGGTCAGACTGCTTTACGAAAGCTCTGCATGGAAAGAGCAGAAGACCTCGTGTCTTCTTAGCAAAGACCCAGTGAAATACTGCGGCAGCGACAAGACAAGTAGAGACGTTGCCAGCACCCGCTTGGAAGCATTCACACGACATATTAGAATATGTCACAGGTCTACTGCTGCAACCACTCTGCACTGCTATGGAGCGCTATCAGAAAACTATATCCAAGTATCATCGTTCTCTGAGCTTCCAAACACATTGCTGGCATCACTTTTCTTCGTGAGCAAATAAACTGCAAAAATAAAGACCGACCTTTCCCTGAACCATTTTCTTTCGGTATTCGAAGAGCTGCGCGATCCGCAGTGCATGTCAGTATGTTGGGTCTTCAATATTGGTCCGCCAAATAGAGCACTCGTTTCAAACAACTGGACTTTAATGGACTCCGAAAGACTGATCAAGATGGGGTCATCATGACGCTCGTACCTCGCTTTCTCTCTATCAGTTCAGCGACAGCTTCCCTGTATACAGGAGGACCTATTTTGTGAAAAGTCTGACGTTGCACCATGCACCCGAGAATCCTCATGAAGCTCACGCAATTTATATGAGCTTATTTCACTATGGGGAACAAAAATAGTAATTGGCACCTGCGATCTACGCTCGAAGCTGCTTTATTCGTGTGATCAAAACGAGAAGACGCCTACTTCTTCATCCCAGCACAAATTCAATTCGAAGAACCGCCTATCATAACTGCAGAGATAAATCGAAAAGTCGTCTCTTCAAATTCTACTCTCATATCATCCTATTTGACAGCTCGTTCTGAGAACGCCAATTTCACGCAGCAGCTACCACCAAAGAACTGGAAACATGAAAGTGCAAATGCTTCTCCTCGGTGTATGGGTAACAAATTCTTGCCTGTTCTCAGACGGATCCCGTACGCGACGCCGCAATAACGCATACCGCGTGATGAGCTTAGACATCCGACTGCAGGCATGACCGTTGTGCTCCATGGACCTTCTGCTATGATCAGCTAGAATTTCGACCCGATGATCACATATTTTCCCCATCGAGAAGATTGGAATCAGCACCTCACATATGGAGCAAATAAACATGTGGATGGTCATAAAAAAACCATCACTTTGTCTCGGACACAGTCAATCCGTAATCGTTACACATTACGTGTTGTGTCATCGAGAGTACTCTTTCCCTTCATTCGTTTCATTCGTAGGGTGTTCTTAGAAACAAGCGCAGTTAGAGTGGTCCATTGATAAACATACGTCAACTCCAAACTAAAGAAAACCTTGAGGCAAAAGGTGAGGAGCACCACGTTTAGGTTTTGATCTTGCTCTCTTCCCTTCCACTGTTGAGGCGACTACTGAGGAACTGCTTTCTGTTGTCAAAGTCTTGGAGCAGAAAGTGGCGCACCTTTCAATCGATTCATTAAAGCAGTTTCAATTAAAAGTATCAGTTTAAGGGAATGAAGAGCTCGAAGTGAGAACCCTTAAAACATTGAGAAACTGTTGGAAAATTTTGCTCTGCCATCAATTCAGCAAAGAAGATAAGAATCGTATTTCAAAGCCACAATCCTCTTTTTGTTCACATTGAGCACCAAACAAACAGAACCATTTCTACCTTTCCCACAAAATGTTTTGAATGATGAGTTCCGGCGCAGTTCTCTGTTGAGTTTAGTGCGGACATGTTTCACCGTACTGCAGTATATCGGAGAAATTGACATAAATTTCCAAGGTCCTCCTAAGAATTTCTAGCTCAACGAAAAGCTGCTGCAAGCACATTAGACTAAGTACCTGTCAAGAAAGTTCCATCATCGGTCAATACTTTGGTTCTTGTCATTGATAGTGGTAACAATTTGACAGGAAAAGGGCTCTGCAAAAGCGGCTCATTAGTAGCAGTAAAAAATAAAGCTAATGTTAGAAGCAAGTTGTGCCTTGAGTGTGAGCTAATGGACTCTGATTTCCCATGGAGTGTGTTGCAATCCACTCACCAACAAAATTTCAGCGGGTTATCAAAACCGTTCCAGTTATCACAATCGACTCCTCTTGTCTTTGTAAGAAACCGGAGTAGCCCTTCACCATCATTGTTTCCTTTCACAACGTGGAATAAGGTTGTTCTCGACATGAAAGGCCTCCTTTTCAAAACTATCCTACATGTCGTGTTTCAAGGGCTCGTGCACGTACCTTTTTTAGTTGAATGCTAAGAGGTGTCTCTGAGTGACGAAAAAGGAGAGAAAGAGCTGGGAAATGCTATTTTGCAGCTCGGGCTTGGTGATGTAAAAGACATGCAGCAAACCTATTGTCAATATAAAGGGTTCTCGGATGAATGCATCAAAAACAACAGGAATTTTGTTAAAAATAAAGCAGTGGTCATGGTGTGTACTCGATAGTGTTGAGGTCCTGGGAGCGCAGTAACCACCAACCAAGTGGTAGCGATCCAAAAGGCTTGCGAATGATGGTGGAAAGCCTCTAGCGCGACAGAAAGGTTTCCTGGTTCAACTCTTCTCAAAAGCCTTTGCGCCAGGCTTCATGTTTAGGATCATTCAAACAGTATAGAAGGATTATTTTGAAAACTGGTGATAAAAATTATCCCGCAAAATTTGACGCCGCACTTGTGATGGGATCGACTTATCCCATTGGCGGAATCTTAGGAAAACTACAGAGGTTGGCCTCTTTTTTTGAACAATGAAGCCATGGCGGACAGCAACATGTAGTAAATCAGCATGCATAATCACAGACAACGTGGAGATGAAAGCGGCATGAGAGCCAGCGGCTTATTCCTGTGACCTCAGGCTGCGTCGTCCATAAAACGGAACGTAATTTTTGTGGTCAGGGAATAACCTTCAAGCAGAATGTTGAAGTTTGGATCTAATTAAAGAACTGACAGGTGAAGCGCCAGTGGTAATTTATCAAAGCACACGATGACGAACTATTAGATAAGTCGTTCGTTTTGTCAAT